AATGGAACTTAAGTTATGCTCCGGAAACCAAATTGCTAGCGGACGGACGGACAGACGGACGCCAGGGGGTATAACATAATATGCCCGTTATTCTTTCGGGCATATAAAAATGTTTTACTCTTTCCTAGTTACTATAGCACATAAGCGCTGAAAATTGTTTCATCGAACGGCTTTCAGCGTTAGTCATTCTTGCCGATGAATTGCTGTCGATGTTATCATTAAAAAGAGGCGAACAGCTGATGACGTAACTAAAATTTTGATGACACTCAAACTTAAATACCTTATAACTTTAACAGAAAAGCTTTTTTGAAGGTATGGTTTGGAATATTTAATGACGAAATGTTGACGTTTTACGAATCGTATGAAAAAAAAAGGATTTATTATCATGAGAAAATATAAAGTTTTTGTGAACTTTAAACTAGAAATACCCGCATCTCATCGGATAGTGTGGTTATTTTTAGTCAAAATTCACGTGAAGTAAAGCTTGCACAGGGCCAAAAATTAATTAGCATGTTCCTTTGGATGTTGACTATGAATCCATAACATTGATTTACTCGAACACAGTTGGGATATGTTAAACATAGATTAATACTTACCGTACGTCAATTGTATTCCCCGCGCCGACATGTATATATTGGTACAGCTGTCGACGCTGGAACAGCTGTCTGCCCATTTGATTGTACGGTGTGATCTAGACCTGTCGGAGGATTAGTTCTTTGTATACCGGGTATTTCTTACGGCATTTTGCTTTTATTACGGTAAGGGCAAATGTAACTGAACGATTTAAAACGAACTTGATTTTTTAATCTCCAATGTAAAGTTATCAAAGAAACTCACGATCAGTAAATGTAAATCACATCTTTATTAAAAGCAATCAAAACTACACGTACTTTTATACAAAATACACATATGATTAAGACACGAATTCTATGATTAATGCGTTTAAAAGAAGAAAATCACCAAGATGTAAGTATCAAAATAACATCAAATTTATTAACAATAATCAAATTCTGAATACTAGTTAAATTATCTATGTTAAAGTACAAATAAATCAATCATTTATGTTAAAGGCTACACATTTTGATTTCTAAAATACAAAACGTTACTGTAACAAAGAATCAGCATAATATCATGTTAAACTCTAAGACATTCAAAGGACATAATCCATTCAACAATTACTGACAAAACATATTTAAAAATATTTTCTATTTTCTAAGTTAAATATTTTCTGAATATAAATATATAGATCAATTTTAGATCTAAACAAAAGTCATTTATCAAAACACAGTATCAGTCAACAAATCTTAAACATTTATAAGCAAATGATTAAAAATAAGAAAATTACGTATATTAACAACTATAGATGTATAATGAAAGTTAAACATATTAATGTTTAAGCAAATGTTCCATTCACGAGCTCATAAACAAAAATTAACAGAAATAAGCTCAAATCTGCATTTTGCTAATATTTTCTGGTTATGTAATTTGTAATTTGTTGTTTTTTAAAAATGAATTCATAAATGTTTCTAAAAGAAAAAAAAACAACAACAAAGCAACAAGAAACATTCAGTCTCATAAACGGAACGCTGTCCATATGTAAGAATTTTAAAATGTTGATTCACAACTTCTTTTTTCCTATTGTGTTTATTTTTATTAAGAATTACAGAATTCATCTTAGTGAAAATGTCTTACTTTCTTAAGGGATTACTTCCCTTATTTGATCGTGGCCTTTTACGAGCTATTTGTAGAACGATATGAATAGTCAAACGTGTAATTCTAATGTAACTATTAAACAATTGTACAAAACAGGTGTAATCATTTTAGTGATTGCTTGCCTCGTACCAGAAAAAGATGTTGAAATGTTCAGAACCAACAGTATAACCTTATATATATATCTTGTTTCTAAAAGTGTATAATACATAAGCTATACATTTGTTGTCTTTGTATTGTAAAAATATTGCTTATATTATGAAGATTTTTTTGGGGAAGAATACTTTAAATGTAAGAGATTTGTCAGTATATGCTATTGACAATGAGTGGGGCAAGCGTTAAATCATAGTCAACCGTATCAAATATAGCAGCAATACATTTATGCGGGATCATGTTTTTTTCTGTTTATTTGCAATATTCATGTATATTGAATAAAGTTACAAATCTATCCAGAAAGACCCATAATGTTATGAAACAACTGAATTGTTGTACTGTTTTCAAATTTTTATTAAAAAATTCATGACATATAGCTTTATACACCTTTAGATCTGGAATATATTTATAACATTTTAAATGACTGAAGTATAATTACAGGAGGAAACATGTGATGCCCTAATCAATAGGGCGAGTGAATTGTTGAAATTTTACGTCATCTGCTGACGAAAAAATGTACGTTAGCTTACATAAAAGTAAACATTTGATAAGGTAATGTCTTGTTTCTTAAATAATATATAGTATGATAACTACATAATGTATGCCACTTGTTTACAAATAACTCAAAACAATATAAACCAACAAAAGTAATACAAAAAAAAGAAAGAAAGAAAATAAAAAAAAATAAAAGAACAAAAAAGAAAGAACGAAAAAGGGGGGACACATACACAAAAATCATAATCAAACTAGAACTGTCACCGAAAACCCGACCCCATCCCAACAAACAGCTTTTATGCCTTAAATGAGAGCCCCCCACAAACGGGGCACACATACTTTTTTTCAAAACATCTAAAACAAAACATTGAAAGAGGCATTTGATAGTGATAGTCTCAGAAATTCACAATAATTTACAATTATTATTAGAATTGTATCAACAGTTGTAACACACATACATATACAATATGAAAAAAATCTATATCCTTATTAAGTAACAATTTGTTATTAAATTCTAGTTGAATCATCGCCAAAATTTCACAAATCATAATACTTTTTCTTAAATATGTATGTAAACAATCCCACAAATTTCTTAACCAATTGAGTGACCTGTGCAATGGGTCTAATAAATTTGTATTATATACTTGCTATGATTTGCACATCAGTCCGGGTACTTTGATTTTCACACGAAACAAATAAATGATCAATTCTGTTTATTTATTCGTTTATGGACAGATAATGCAATTGCTAAGCCTCAGTACTCGCGGACATCCAAACAATATTTTGATAAATTTTACCGCGGTCTTCTTAAAGCATCATTAGAACTTGTGGTTTACTTTGTGTTTTACATTTCCTATAATGTTACTACAAGTGTTTCTATATATCATTATGCGATTATATTTTCAAATAATGTCATATTCAAATATAAAGAAATATAAGTTAATACTAAAAATAAGCAAATGCTCGTTATCTAGATTATTTTTCAACTTAAACACGTCAGCTATGAGAAAACTAGAGGGCCATGATGGCCCTGAGGTCGCTCACCTGTATATAGCCCCCCCCGGACCAATTTTTACCCAAGGGCTTTTATTTGTTTATTTGAACAGACTTGGTAGACACCCATAAGAAGATGTTTCATGCTAAACATCTAAGTTCTCATTGGTTTTTTTTTTAAAAGGTTAATATTTTAGTTTTTACTTATACACATGATAGTTAAAAAACAATGCACCATCCTGGGGCAGGGCCAGTTTTGACCCGCCGGGCTTTTATTTGAACAAACGTTGTAGATATTTACTAAAAAAGATTGTTTTCAATGCTTAATATCTACACTCTAGCTATTTGGGGTTTTTTCAAAGAAGATTTTTAAGTGTTTGCTATACAGCAAAAAAGGAACATCAATGACCTCCGGGGCAGGGCCCAATTTTTGACGGCCGGGGATTTTATTTGAACAAACTTTTTGTAGACACTGATTAGAAGATGTTTCATGCTTAATATCTAAACTCTAGCTATAGGGTTTTTTGCAAAGAAGATTTTTAATAAGGTTTTTTGGCCATACACATATAAGGAAAATCGAATTGACCGCCGCCAGGGGCGGGGCCAATTTTGACCCAAGGGGCTTTTATTTGAAACAAATTTGGTAAGACAGCCATTCGAACATGTTTTCATGTAAATATCTTAGCTCTAGCTCTTGGGTTCTTTAAAAGTAAGATTTTTAAGTTTAGCTATATGCATATAGGGAATAATTTTATGACCGCCCTGGAGCGGGCCAATTTTGACCCGCAGGGCCTTTTATTTTTGAAACAAACTTGGTAGATCACTCACTAGAAAGATGTTTTCAATGCGCTAAAATTATCTAAGCTCTAGCTCTTAGGGTTGTTTGAAAGAAGATAAAGATTTTTTCTTTCGGTTGCCATGGCAACCAGAGTTCTGCATGGAAATAAATTCTTTGAACAATTTTTAAAGGTGACCACCAAAGGAACATTCCTGTGAAGTTTGGATGAAATTGGCTCAGTGGTTTATGAGGAGATGTCATTTAAAGCAAAAGTTTACGGACGGACGGACGACGGACGGACGCCGGACGAAAAGCGACCACAAAAGCTCACCCTGTCACTTTGTGACAGGTGAGCTAAAAAGGAAACTTTAACATGATGGAGGATAATATCTGAACGGCTGGTAAGGAGCTTCGCGGTCGATATTCATTTTGTGCAATCCGCCAATGATAAGAACGAGTATGCAGGTCAAGAAAAGGTTAAAAAAAACACTTTCTGTTAAAACGGGATAATGTGAAAAATATAGATAATTAATTTCTTTACGTTACATAATTACATTACGCCTTTTACAAGTCAATCCACTAGATAATGTTAAGTAAGTAAAACGCCTTGCAAAATACGAATAATTGCCCTTACTCAGTATTACACTTTACAATGACAGACTGATTTATAAAATACTTAATACTTTTATTAATATATTTAACATTACTTCTTTTCATTTTCATGATATTTAATTATAAAGATCTCTCAGACTTTTAATTGCATCTTCATCTGAAATTTCATGCCAGGAAGAAGGGATATTTGATATATCTATACCAGTATCTCTTGAAATTTCATTTTCAAACCTACTTAAATAAAGCATCCAAAACTTACATACGGCGTTCATATCTGTATTTGGTTCTATGTCCCAATCTTTTATGAACATTTTATAGTCACGGTATCGGTGAACTCCAACCGGACAACTCTTTTTTTCAGTGCCAGATGCACAAGCATAGTCGAACACACCGCAAGTATGAGTTAAATATGTTGAATTAATTGCAAAGTTGCATGTATCAATACTGAGTTCTTTAGAATCTGTAAAATGAACCCCCTTACATCCTTTTGGTTTATGCTGTATACAAAAGTGGGGCATTTTCTCGGCATCGTGAATATCTCTAGCACACGGCTCACCACAAAATGGACACTCTTCTGGACAACCCCAAGTTTCATTTATTACTTCTGTTATAGGATCTAGTATATTCCAAATAACAGTTGTACTATCAACATTTTCAAACTCTTCTATAAGTTTGTGTTCAGATTCATTTAGCTTTTCAATAACAAGCTCCTTGAAATTCTCCAAGTTGTCATTGTTTCGTAGAATGTCCTTCAAAAGATCGAACTGTGATTTAGATAGAATACATATTTTTAATTTTGACGACAATGTGTCAATCCAGTCATCAGAGGCAGAACTATTCTTAATAGTCTTACGATCCCATGGATATCTTTTAGAAAATATATCAGCAGTTGTAACAACTGACATTTTGACTTCTTCAAAGTATTCCATAATGTAGCGACAAGCCATTTTGCAATACTTTCTTGAAGGCTGATCAAATAGAAACGCATTAGACCGTTTTGTGATCCACTGTGCGGCAAATAGTTTTGGGTTCTGATTGTATTCGGAGAAGAGTTTATAATTATTCATGCTTAATAAATCAGAAAGTAAGTCTGAAATAAAATGATATTTCAATGAACCGATATGCGAACGTAATGCAACTTTGATTTCCCTTGGCAGTAACTTAATCACAGACTCACGAACAGAGGATTTCACTGCGTTACTTAACTCAGATGCAGCAGTTTCGTCAGCTTTAAGATTAAGATGGAAGGAAATGAAAATAGTTTTAAATTTTTGTTTGCTTTTTTGGAGACGGGCTCCTGGACTATTTACTTTTTCATAATTTATATTGTGCATTTCAAAAATATTGCCGGCACATTCAGCAATCCGTGTAAATATTTTCATTTTGAGTTTAAAATTAAATGAAAATTCCATTGCGTGTTGCTTTTCGAATTCAGTATAATATATTTCAACTTCCTTGAAGAAATTTGTTACAACAGATGCAGTAATTTTCTTCACTCTTTTTTTTTTTCAGCATTTAAGGAAATTTTCCCAAATTAATCCTTTTTTTAAAAATGTTTTCTCGATTTCTTTTTTTTAAATGTTTTCCCAAAATTTCGGCCCCTTTTTGTTTTAAAATTCATTTCCCAAAAAAAACCTATTTTACTTAGTCTGGGAAAAAAACTTTAAATTATCTATGCATTAAATTTTTCAGAAGAGCCCTTTTTAAGTAATTATTACAGTTTTACATCACGTTTAAACTAAGAAATTTTTTTAAAAAAAGGCTTAAATTTTTGGGCAAAAAAATTTTTTTTAAAAAATTGTTTTTATTTATCTTTTTTATATCAAATTGATCTAGATTTATGGGCCCGAGCCAAACGTATAAGTGATTTAAAGTTAAATCTTTTCCAGAAATTTTTTCAAATTAAAATTTTTTTTATTTATTTTGGGGGGACTTTTTTGTAAAATTTTTGGCCGATTCCCCTAAACTTTTTAAAAAAAACAGCTTTTTAATAAAATGTTTTATTTTTAAATTTCTTTCCCCTCTTTCTTTTTTAAAAAATCGGGAAAATTTTGATTTTTTTATTTCCCTTTTTAAAAAACTCTCCGAAAAAACATTTTCAATTTGACCCCCTGTTTTATCTTTCCATTGCTCTTGCTCTTCAGAATACTTACTTTTACTCAAAAAGTCTTCAAGTTCAAGCTTCCAATTCACCTCTTCATTGTTTATTGTTTCGTCAGTTTCAAGATTAGATTTGTTAAAATCAGTGTCTAATTGGTTGATATCAACTGACCTTGAAAATGATACGTTAGCATTATCACAACAATCATCATATATTTTCCCTTCCTTTTTAAAATATGCTCTTTTAAAATATTTGTTTAAATCATAGTAAGCTTTGATTTCTAAACTGTTACGATACTTGAAAACAAAATCTTCGCTCAAAACACCTGTCCACAGATCTTTCATATGGATTACAAAATCTTTTAACGATTTGTATGACTTTTTTTTCATCTCACAAGCCCCCTGTAGCACCTTTTTCTTCACAATGTTAATATGCTGACTATAATCACAGTTAACAAAAGTCATAGGGCTGCTACCCTGCCAAAGTGTTGGCATAAGGAATACCTGTGAATACATATCAAATTCCATAATTTCATTAAATTGACTGATGGCAGGGACATTTTCCACCTGAGCGGCGTCTTTAGTTGCATCATTTAGTTTCTGCAATAGTTTTCGTAACCCAGGCCTAGTGTTTCGAGCAGCTAATATATCACTTACATTTTGGTGTACGAAATAACACAACTTTCTTATATCCAAGGACTTATTTGCCTTTTTTAATCGTATAAAAGCATGAACAGTCACATTGAGAATGTCGTTGATTTCACAAATGTTTTCCCCCATGACATTAAGGATAGTAACATCACCAAGTCCAGAAATAAATGTTGCCAATTCGTTGTCATGAGTTAACTTACAATCAGAAAACTCCGTAGATCTCAATCCTTCTGTATCTACAACTAAAACATAGCTAAATTTATTTTGTTTTGTTATTCTTTTTGACATTGGAATTAATTGCAAATTCAGGCCTTTCGTACATCGCCCAGATGAAACAGCAAAATGCGACCCAAACATTGTATTCAGCAATGTCGATTTCCCAGAACTCTGAAGTCCTACCACTGAGAGTGTCAAAACACTTTCATGATCAATTTTAAGTGAAAGGGAAAGGAAAACTGCTTCTACCCAATGAGTTGCTAAAAAGAAATTGTCACCATCTACAAGTTCAAATGTATATCCAATATATATCAATTCGGCTAAAGTAGTTTTCATTTTTTCCACCGAGGGAAGGCCATACCGCCCTTTTAAGATCAAAAGCACATTATAAATATGACTTATTTCGCGGAAAAGATGCTCAATACTAAAGGAAGAACTATCAATTTTTTTTTCTGTAGCTTTCAGTAATAAATCGGTTTTTTTTTTAATATCGATAGCTGATAAACCACTTGATTTAAGTATATCAATTTCTAAATTGTTTTGTTTTTGTAATTTTTGGACTGTTGACATCTTTATATTTCCCAGCATGATATTTAACCACCCAAGAAAATACTGGAGGGAAAGATCATATGTATTAGTCTCGCAAAGATAAAAGGCAAATTGTTTAACTGTAGATGTCACATTATCCAAGCAGCTATGTCTTAATGAATGTAGTTTTTCTTCGTTATCCCTAATTTCAGTTGCATATTGTAAACGTTGTTGCTTCTTAATGCATTTAGCTATTTCATTTGATATAGTGGTTTGAACTGGCGTAATAACCCTCTTCCATTCCAATGAGCTCCCTGCTTTCGTCATTTCTTCAATGATATCCCGTGCACATTTCTTTCCGTCTTTGCAAGAATCACTGTCCTCATCCAAATAAATATTTTGAGAACAAGATGTAATCCGTGTATACAATGACAACGGTTGCAGTTTTATGAGAAGATTTTGCAATTGCCTTTGTAAAATTTCTGTCATTTCAACAGGGTTGCGTTTTCTTTCACCTTGGTAAGTGGAAATTAATTCACAAAACTTTCCTTGCGCTTGTAATTTTAAGCGAAATGTGTCCATTATCGGTTTGAATTTTCGTCTCATAGGGTTATCAACGATAATAATCATAGATGAAAATTTGGACACACAATCTTCTGTATATTTAGTTGAATTATTTAAAGATTCGATATCTAAAAGTATAACTAAAATGTCAGTCAATTTAGACACAAACTCCAATATTTCAGTCTGAAACTGGTGTAAACTGCCTCTGCAGTTTAAAAATGTGACAGGTTTGTTAAACCTATCCATTGAGTTACCTTCAACTGGAAGCCAAAATATTTCAACGAGCTCCTCACTATATTTATGACTGGCAATTTGTGAGACGCAATTTTTATCAAAGAATGTCTTGCAATTATTATCTGATAACAACCCATTTAGCATTTCTGATTTAGAATTAGCTGATTTCCCAATGCGCGCAAATGTTATAAGATTTGTTGGATGCTCGTGCACCTCCTCTTCAACACATAAATTTGTTTTTGCTTCATTATTGGTATACCTGTTTTGGATAAGAAGACTTCTTAAAGGCCATATTGAGACAACAGATCTACTACTCAATGATGAGAAGTCATGAAGGACATGAATAAAAGGGACCGCTATTTTACAAGAATAGCACTTTTGAAACAAAAGTTGCTTTAACATAGGATCACAACATTTGTAAACTGTAATGAAAAGATCAAGGGGATTTACCTCAGTATGATCATAACTATCGGCAAATAACCAATCGCTTGTACATTGTTCTTGAGGTGTTGCATTTTCTTTAATCAATGATGCTACCCGATCCCTTGCTTTGCAGTAAACCCCAAGTAGACTTCGTAAAAGTATCCATGGAAGTTCGGTTAGTTCTATTTTCTTCTGGTCTTGATCAAACACTGATCCATTGTCCATATTGATTGTCATAACATTGGAAATGCTTATCTTGTTAGGGTAGTAATCCAAGAGTCCTAAGGCATTAAGGAATTGTTCATAATGACTGAGTCTATCTTCATCGTGTTCTGTTGTTTCGTTATCTAAATGTGGATGAAAATTGTATCATTTATCACAATCAACAAAAGCATCCGTGTATGTTTAAAGACAAATATTTAAGAAGTATACCAATGCTATGATAACTAAAGCTAGAAATAATCGTACTTCTAAGGTCACTGGGGAGTACAAAATATTTATAGTAAATGTATTAAATCAATAAGTGAGGTGTCTTGCATAAATAAATACCCCAAACAAAGTATGTATAAATTTATACAATTATGATGTAACACCAAACTGAAGTCATGCGGTATAAATTTTAACTTTGATATAAAATATGAAAAACAAGATCAACAAGAAAAGGCGGCGTTCAATGAACGCAACCCCCATATGACCCAGCAACAAGAACCAATGGAAAGGAGCCCAGGCGGACCGTTAAATAAATACTGTTTTTCTAATTAAATTAATAATTTGGAACTGTGTATTTATCTCCAGTGTGTTAAAGTAAAAAACAATACTTCCTGGTTAATGTATATTATATTCTTATCTTATTCGTTGGAAATGATTGTAAGTATTACACGTCCACTGCTGCAGCAATATTTTTGCAAAGGGATTTTTCAGTTATTAAAGAGATTACTGATGCATTTGGACATGTAATCTTGATGGCGAATGAAATAACGAAGAGTTAAGTTAACTTCTTGGCTCTCAAGTTCAGCTAAATAAGCTATGCATTTCAAAAGATTGACTGTTATAATTTGATTGAGTAATATTTGACAATGAAAGACTTTTATGCTAAAATATTAAAACTGCCTAAAATATAAAACAGATGCACCACTCTTTTTAAAAATTTAACATTAATAAGGGAAAGTTACAGGATTTCCATGGGTCATTTTGGTTAATTGACTATGCCTTTTAAGTAGAATATAAAATTCAAACAAATATTTTAAAATATAAATTTACTACGTACGGTCACCCTTTATATTTAAATGAGCATAATGTCAATTGCAATTGAGTGATGCAGCTTTGTGAGCACTGCACATGTTGAAAAAATGGTATACGAGTTATGGTTTGGACAAACAGAATGGGAAATAACTGACAGTGTATAAAGCGGAAAATAATGCAAAAAGTCATGGTTCTTTTCTGCAGCAATTTCATAAACAAGATCCTTTTACCGAGAAGATTATTGTTGATTAATCATCTTTGTGTTAATTTCAACATAAAAAACTGAAATGCAAGGAACACACTACGATGTCAGAATAAGTGTAAATCTTTGTGGTGAATAACTTAACAAGACCTTTCCGCTGACAGCGCGTTAAACATTTTTCGATGCTGGATAGTAAATAATAGCGAATTAGAAAAGGTGCAATATTGTCTACAAACTTACCCGCCCTTGAATGTCAACAAATATTTCAAGCTTTGTTGGTTTTTGAGAACATGGTAAATATTATAAAATGGTAAATATTAAAAGAAGGGAATAATTAACTATAGATGGCTATACATTTTTACTGCCCAAAAGAAATGCATTTGCAATTTATAAGAGTGGACAAGCATTTCAGGATTAAATTGAACTAGAAATGTGTCCATAGGACACGGATGCCCCCACACGCCACTGTTCTGTCAATCTTATGACTCTAGGTCAAATATTTTTTGGACTACATGTGCCACAAGTTGAAAACTAAAAATCAACAAAGAGCCATAATTCTGTTAAATTTGGTCGCAGCAAAAAATTCCTTCCTTTACTACCATCTACACATTAAGGTTGTTAATCCTGGAAGTTTAAGCAAAATCTGCCATCCGGTTTAAGAGGAGTTGCATTCACAAAATTTCAACATAGTATATAATGAAAAAATCAAAAAAGGGCCATAATTCTGTTAAATTTGGTTGCAGCAAAAATTCCTTTCTTTATTACCATCTACACATTAAGGTTGTTCATCCCTGGAAGTTTAAGCAAAATCTGCTATCCGGTTTAAGAGGAGTTGCATTCACAAAATTTCTACATAGTATATAGTGAAAAATCAAACAAAGGGCCATAATCTGTAAAAATTTGGTCGCAGCGAAAATTCCTTCCTTTACTGCCATCTACACCTGAAGGTTGTTCATCCTGTAAGTTTAAGCAAAATCTGCCATCCGGTTTAAGAGGAGTTGCGTTCACAAAATTTCTACATAGTATATAGTGAAAAAATCAACAAAGGGCCATAATTCTGTTAAAATTGGTCGCAGCAAAAAATCCTTCCTTTACTACCATCTACACATGAAGGTTGTTCATCCCTGTAAGTTTAAGCAAAATCTGCCATCCGGTTTAAGAGGAGTTGCGTTCACAAAATTTCTACATAGTATATAGTGAAAAAATCAACAAAGGGCCATAATTCTGTTAAAATTGTCGCAGCAAAAATCCTTCCTTTACTACCATCTACACATGAAGGTTGTTCATCCTGTAAGTTTAAGCAAATTCTGCCATCCAGTTTAAGAGGAGTTGCGTTCACAAATTTCTACATAGTATCTAGTGAAAAAATCAACAAAGGGCCATAATTCTGTTAAATTTGGTCGCAGCAAAAATTCCTTCCTTTACTACCATCTACACATTAAGGTTGTTCATCCCTGTAAGTTTAAGCAAAATCGATCGTTTAAGAGGATTGTGTTACAAGATTTCGGGCGTACGGACGACCGGACCTGAGGAGGAGGACTTCGACTATTGACGACGAGGACAGTGAAGCTATATCTCACATTGTGGGGGCATAAAAATTGTTTTGACTTTTTGAGAAATGCAGCTTAACAAAAAGGTTAATAAAGAAAGTCAGAGCTAAAAATAAATAATAGAATAAAAAGAAAAAGAAATGATAAAGTTACCTTGTTTTTAGAAATGCAATTCAATTTAAAATAAGCCAAACGTGTCATAACTTTGCCAGGATTATCTGCTCTTCTGAAACAGTGCCTTATTTTGGAAGTGAACATGTTAATCAACTTGGAAGGAAATTACGTCGATTGGAAGTGAGAAAATGGACATGATCAAAAAGGGTTAACCAGCGCAAATTTATCTGGGCTGACAAAGGTCATAAAATATGATAAACAAGATCAATAAGGAAAGGCGGCAATCAATGAACGCAACCACCACACGACCCAGCAACAAGGACCAATGGCAAGGAGACCAGGAGGACCCCAAACAAAGACAGGAGAAGGTGTAAGGCAGAGCACGGACAGGCTAATCACTAAAATGATAAATAATTTGTAACTGATAAGGAATCCAAAGAAAACAAATAACTTATTAAATTGCGTCCTTATATGACATTAACGTTTACATCAAGTTTGAAGCAAAAACTTTTCATAGTTTCTGAGAAAAAGGTCTTTAACAAAAATGTGAACGAAGCCAAAGACATAGTTATGACAATAGCTCCCTTACTTTCATTAGAAAAGTGGAGCTAAAATAAAATGAAGTAAGGAACGTTAACGATCTTAAAGCAGTTTGATAATGCAGTTTCGCCATATTAAAACCTAGCAACATATAAGTTCCATGCTCATATCCGTACTTTCAACAAAAATTAGTTTTTTCCAGGCAAGATTTATGAAAATTACTCCAAAGGAAAGTAACAAAAAAAAGAAATATTTATCCTTTATTGAGATATATCCGCCTGGGAAGGTTCTATTGTGATACTCTCTTAAACATGTCCCAAATAATAATTAAATCGACGACAGAAGGGGAATGCCAGACAATCTCACTCACTTAAATTAACGTCACAGCCTTGGTGTGCCCCCGGATAATATTTTAATCTCAAGATATTCTTGTGTGGCTATTATGTATGTACTTATTTTCATTATAAAGCCAGCTTAAAGAATGTTTTCTCACCTATACGTTCTTCCCCTCTACCTTCAAAATCTGCATCATTGTGTAATGCTGCAGTAAATATTGCCTGTTTAACTCTCAATTCACCTTTAAGAACGAGCTCCTTTGCAACTAAAATTAAATGGATGTTATAAGCCAAAAGTTAAACACATGAACTGGACCAATTTTATGATTTTGAATTTTCATTAAGGACTTTTCGGGATTTCATAAATAATACAGACAGAATTAATTTAAAAACAGTTTTAAAACAAAATGTCTTTATATGGTGGCCCTGATTTGGGTTACACTCTCGCGCGTTGCGTTTCCGATAGGCATCAAACAACAATCCCTATATCGTTATCTATGGAAAACGCCTGGACTGTCTTATGTTTAAAGAAGGAAATTTGATTACCTGGTTAAATGTCTTTCTGTGGAGTCCGAGATAAAAAATGCCTGGTTTTGGAAATCCTAATGTGCTAAGTTTATTGAAGTGCTTTATGTTGGGTGTGCTGACTTATTTTATTCAGTCAAGTCAATGAATGTCGGGTGCATAAGGGTCGGTTATGTCAAGTTCTTAAAACAAAAAACAGGCATGTGGTAACACAATTATGTTGAGTTAAAAAGATATGTTGTAGGGTGTTGCAGTTATTATGTTCGGTTATAATAATATGCTGTTTGGTGCTCTTCTCATCATGTTCAACCATGAAAATAAACAGTTGAGTGGTACTATCATTTTGTTTGGCTTAGGCAGTGTAATTTTGGGTGATACTTTTATTATTTTCAGTTGCAATGACCAATGCTGTTGGGTACTTTATTCCTTCTGTGTTCAGTCGTGAAATAGAAATGTTAAATGATACAATCATTATCTTAAATGGTACTATCATTATCTTGTGTGCCGATATCATCTTTTCTTCAGTCAAGTCAATGTATTGTTCGGTGCAAAGGTCGTTATGTTCAGTTGTTTTTTGGTACCTATCATTTATGTTCATTCAGATGATTTTACTGTTCGGTGCAGAGGTCATTATGTTCAATAGTGAACCCCACAAACTGTTGTGTTGGATACCACAATTATGTTTGGGTTTCATTCGGATATTTTCCCCGGGCAACCAAGATTGGGAGCGACTTAATTTCCATTTTAGGTTTTCACGTCGAGGCTAATGCACCAAACTAAAATTGCCCAAAACAATTTTCTTCCCTGTAAAATTATCATCGGGGGGGCTTAAGAACGTTTATTTTCATAAAATTGGACTTTTAAAAATACCCAATGGGTATTTTATTAGTTAATTTTTCATGACCTATCCTTTACTTGTTACAGTCATTAATGGGTTACAGTTATATTAAAACTTAAAATATGGGTAAGGGTTAGCCTGTTAAAGTCACACATGACCACCGTAAATAAAACTTAAAATGTATCTGTTTGGTAACCTATAAGAGTCAACAAAATGGACACAGCAAAACGAAATTTTAAAATATAAAACATAATATACAAGTAAGGTAACCCTATTTGAGTCAAAACGTGGCCCACAGTTTATATGGAGCATATAAGTAAAGGGTAGCCTATTATTAGTTTCAACATATGGCCACAGCATATGCAACTTAAAAAAATATATGTGTTGGTAACCCATTTGAAGAGTCACACATAACCACAATAAATGGAACATAATATTTAAGTAAGGGAAACCCCTATTTGAGTCACACATGGCTACCAGTAATATGGAACATTAATATAAGTAAGGTAGCGCAATAAAAGTCACACATTACCCCCATTATGAAGAACATTCTATATAAGTTTAGGGAAACCTAATTGAGTCACACTAGGCCAAAATATATGGGAACATTATGTTTAAGTAAGGGAAATCTATTTGAGTCACAACATGACTAAAGTATATGGAACATTATAATAAAGTAAGATAAGTAAGGTAGGCCTTATAAAAAATTTAGACTTCAAATACATTTCCCTTGAGTTAAAAACAGTATGTCTAAAATATCTTGTGGCCATGTGTGACTCAATTAGGTTTCACTTACTTATAAAGAATTTCTTTATACTTTGGTCCCATGGCTTGACTTTATTAGGCTACACTTACTTATATATAATGTCCATTTACTGTGGTCATGTGTGTCTTCAAATGGGGTTTCCATACTTAATTTAACGTTCCATAAACTGTGGCCTGTGTGACTTTCAAAATAGGTTTGCCTTACCTTGTATATTATGTTTCATTATTTTAAATTCGTTTGGATGTCTTCCACTTGGAGGTTCAAAAAAAGTTAACCAAACACATTATATTTTTAAGTTTTTATTTACGATGGTCCATGTGTGACTTGGAAACCAGGCTAAACCCCTTTTAACCATATTTTTAAGTTTTTTTAATACTTGTGCCATTATTTGACTGTAACAGGTATAGTTAGTCTAAAATTAAACTTGATAAAAATACCCATTGGGGTAATTTTAAATATTGCCTACCGACTGTCCAATTTAATTAAATAACGTTCTTAAGCTCCCGATTTGGTATTTACGGGGAAGCCAAATTGTTTTGGCAATTTTATTGGTCATTTAGCCTTCACGTACCTAGGAAAAATTAGTTCTCCCGCCCGCCATTCTCGTTTTGACGCAAGATTTTTTCCGGGAATTTAACCCAACATAATTTGTATCGACCACTCAGCGCATTTATCAAATGACTTGTGCACCGAGCAGTAATCATTTCTGAAACTGAACATAATGACGGTATCACACCACAGTTTGTGTTCACCTACTGAACATAATGACTTGGTGCACCGAAACAGTATATCATCTGAACTGAACATAATGACGGTATCACACAACAGTTTGTGTTCACTACTGAACATTAATAACCTCTGCACCAAAACAGGATATCATCTGAACTGAACATAATTGACGGTATCACACAACAGTTTGTGTTTCACTACTGAACATAATGACTTTGTGCACCGAACAGTATATCATCTGAACTGAACATAATGACTTCTGCATAGAACAGTATATCATCTGAAAACTGAACATAATGAACGGTATCACACAACAGTTTGTGTTCACTACTGAACATAATACATCTGCACCGAACAGTACATCACCTGAACTTGAAACATAATGACTTCTGGCACCGAACAGTATATCATCTGAACTGAACATAATGACGGTATCACACAACAGTTTGTGTTTCACTAACTGAACATAATGACATCTGCAACCGAACAGTACAATCACCTGAAACTGAACATAATGACTTCTGCACCGAACAGTATATCATCTGAACTGAACAAATGACGTATCACACAACAGTTTGTGTTAACTTACTTGAAACATAATGACTTTCTGCACCAAACAGTATATCCATCTGAAACTGAACATAATGGACGGTATCACACAAAACAGTTTGTGTTCACTACTGAACATAATGACATCTGCACCGAACAGTACATCACCTGAAACTGAACATAATGACTTTCTGCACCGAACGAGTATATTCATCTGAACTGAACATAATCGACGGTTATCACACAACAGTTTGTGTTCACTACTGAACATAATGACTTTCTGCCACCAAAACAGTATATTTCATCTGAACTTGAACATAATAAACGGTATCCACACAGCATTTTTTGTTCTCTACTGAAACATAATGACATTCCTGCACCGAACAGTACATCATCTGAACTGAAAAACAGAATGACCTTTGCACCGAACCAGTAATATCATTCTTGAAATTGAAACATAATGATATCCTATTCAAAACAGTTCTATTTCACGAATGAACAGAAGGAAATTTTAAGCACCCAAAAAGGCACTGTAATTGCCAAAACTTAAAAAATTATTTAAAAGTATCCCACCAAATAAAATACCTTGCCGCTACCAAAACAAAATTGAATATACCCAACTCTCAACCCTGTTTATTTCATGGTTGACCATGATTGGAGAGCTATTTTTAACCCCGAACATTAAAACTGTCACCAACCCTACAAAACATATCTTTTTTAACTTAAACCATAATTTTTACCCACATCCTGTTTTTTTGCTTTTAAGAAACTTGATCAAGAACGACTAATGCACCCGTGACCCAATACATTGGACTTGACTTGAATAAAATGAAATTCCGGCACACAAACATTACCACCTCCCAATTTAACTGAAGCGCATTTGGATTTCCACCCAGTATATTGGGATTTTGACCCAGCATATTGTATCTCGGAGACAATAGAATGACATTTAACCATGTATATCAGTCATTCTACACATAAGACAGTCCAGGCGTTCCATAGTTATCGTCTTAATGTCTTTTCGCTTGCGAAACGCTCCAAACGGCGCGTTGTCGAACTGTCGTCTTGTCCTGTCGCTAGCGAAGAACGACAAACGTCGCGTTGTCGTACGGCTGGTTGGCGCGATGTTGCCCTGTCACGTGGCCTATATGTATATTAGAAATAGCGAATCCTTCGATTTGAGCCGAGCGACAATGTGACATTTCGACAACACGCCGCACGACATCGCGCCGTTTGGTTTGATTTGTTAGCGACAGGAAGACAAGACGACAGAGCAAAAACGCTCTGTTTGGCTTTTTGTCGTGCTGTCGCTAGCAGCAATATGGCGCATAAAAGTGTTCAAAATCAGCCACCCACTATACTTTAAAGCATATTGTTAGAATATGATGACAGAAATATTTCAGGCGAATTAAAAGTTAGATGTTACCCATCTCATGCTTCAGTAAAGTTAGTTTCTTTCCTGTAAAATTTACAGGAAAGAACTGAATATATAAAGAATTTGTATTGGTCATTTCAAAATAACAAACTGAAATCTGTGAATCTCATTGTTATTCTAAAATAAAAGATAACGTATAGTTCTTGATATTCTAAAATAAAATTTAAGGATAGTTCTAAAATGAAATATAAGGGATAGCTTTTGCCATTATTAAATCAAATGTAAAAGATTGTTCTAAAATAGAATGCACAAGATAGTTCTTTCTAAGGAAATTGCTCAGATATTTAATTTCTGTTTAACAATACTTTCTTCCAAATAACGTTTCACGTTGCATTTAGATCTTTCTAGCAAACAGATGCTTTTATATATTAAGAACTTACTGAGTTAATTTACTCAAGAAATTTCCGAGTTAGAATTTTTGTTAAAATATGGAGACCATAAACAAGTTCACGAACCTTTAAGTCTAATCATGCACATGAAAACATACAAAAATCCAAACTTACCAGGTAGTCTCAGATAATGATGCTTAAAGTGTCCAATACATTATATGGTAACTGATGTGTTTTTTTTTATTTTTGCATATCAATCACGTATTCATAAATGTAAATGCCTACCGACTGCGTACATGTTGGTGTTAAAAATCAGTTCAATTACCGAAACGCCAAGTTCATTTAGGAAGATATATATTTTACACTGCTCTAGTTTTCAAGATTAATAACATCATCGGCAATTCTTCCAATTGTAGCAATAGTATTTTAAGATAAACAAGAAGTATCTTTAAAAAGATACTCGACCGAAGTCAAACTTGTTAACTTGCATAGGATAAGCTACTGACCTTGCTAACCGCAAACAGGTCATTTTACTCGACCTCAATTTTTTTTATTTCAGTTCATTTTTACCCGCAATGTTTTTCCCCATTAATTGTCATCTTAGATTTAAACAATATTACTTAGTACATTATTTGATTTTAATCAAAATGGAAATTGATTTGAATAGGAATTTATAATCAAATAAAGATTAAGTAGATACTGTACACTAATTCCACGGAGAATTTTGCAATTGTAAATTAGTCGAAAGTTCGTTTCAATCGTCTTATGCCCGAACATAAAAGCTGTTAGAAACATCTAAAAAATATCATTATTGTGATTTTATATTTATTCTGACTTATATTGTTTTCCTACACCTCTTGCCATCGCACAATCGAACAGACCTCTGCCTGTAACGGAAGCTCTTCTAAAGTATCAATCGAGCAGGCTATTAGTGTTAAAATGACCAATGAAAATTATGCTTATATTCATTTCTTTACTGTTAATTTTAGCGGAAGTCAAGGTGAAATCAGACGGCCTTCGGCCGAAAATGGTTGCTTACAAATTATTCGGATTTTAAGTGTTTTTTAAGTATTTCCCTCTGTATGTGTTGCAAGTCCTTGGATAAATTATACCAAAAAAACGTTCTCATCCACGTCCTTTTCAAACTTCCTTTTAAAATGACATTATGCTTATATTTTCAAGTTGAGCTGAATTGACTTTATATTTCAAAAGATTGACTGTCAAAATGGTGTTTGACAAACAGTTGATATTGGAAAATCTTTAAGATAGAATTATAAATCTTCTTAAAATTTAAAAAGACTGTCCACTCTTTTTATAAACTAAGCGTTTTAGGTAAATCCTAATGGATATTTACAGAAATTTTGATTGGATCTGTGCCTTATTTATTGTTTATGCGAACATAATTATTAAATTTAAAGGAATTATGTCAAAACGAAACTTATTTTGATCTTCGCCCGTTCACTCACTATCTATCCTTGGATGAACATAATGTCACTTTAATTAAATTTAAATGGTTTAAAAAATTCTTTTAAATCTTAAATGACTTATAGTATAAAAAATAAACAATTTACATTAAGAGTTAAAATGAACAATTACAGTAACGAAATCATTGAGTGTAAAATAAATTGTTCTATTTATATGTGAAGTTTAAATTTGGCTTTAGAACCACAAACTTTCGAACAATTGTTGTATAAAGAATTTGTTTAAGTTCGATTGTGAAGGAAGCTATAACCTTATAGACACACTTTCGAATCCGTTCCTGGAACCAACCAGTTGTGAGCAATTTGTGTAAAGTTTCTTAGTCGAGGAAACAACTACTGATCATTAGATTACTAGTCCGACGCGTTAACTACACGGCCAATCTCACAATCGATGCGGTGGGTTGGGTTATCAACCACTTTTCGGTTATCTCTAGTTATCATAATTGTTTTTGTTTGAGGCCGATACACACAGGATTTAAATAATTTATATTTTTCTTTTTCATCATAGCTGTTTGCATTAAAGTTTGTGAATTTTATACTTACAATTTCCATTTTTTATCTACAGGTATTTGCAAAATTTCATACGTGATTCTTTTAATTATTCTACCAACATTGCAATGATTACAATATTTGTAGAGTCAGACGTAAAAACAAGTAATAGGGAAACCTAAACAAATACTGAAAAATAGAAGTTGTCCTACTTTAAAGAGACATAATTATCAATATGTTTATACATGTAATTTAATTTCTATGTTTACAAAATGATTGAAGCTCAGGGGTTGCCTTTAAGAGTTAAACATCATAATTGAAGCCACCGTTTATCCCGTTTGAATGGTCGTAAGAGGCGAGTAAATGGATTCGAATTGTTTGAGTTTATGCATCCCATAGCTCCAGCAGATGAGCTGGTTTTGACCCCTGGTGTTGCTTTAATTTTGTAACACTCGAAGTAAGCAAAAATCACCATTCCTTTTTCGGCGTCATATGGCCTAAATTGTCTAAGTGCGCCGTGATACCAGACAAAATATTGTTTTTTTCTAAGATACAAGCAATTATTATAATCTTGTAATGCAAGCATTGCTAACATTTCAAAATGTATCGAAAACTTATCAATAACATATGCAAGTGAACTAGTTTTTATTCGATCAAGTATGTTTTAAAATATACTTTTAATTCCATAATTTATTTCTATAAAAGTTTTTAAGATTGAAAAAAAAAGTCTTTTTTTTTAATTAAGCCATTTTTTCAAAGAAGAAATTGCACAGGTTCAGAGCCGAACAAAAATACAATTAACATTTTCGTTCTTTATTCGTTCTTGATATTTTGCTCAATGACTAGTAAGGTACATATTATTAAGAAAACAAGTAAGGTATTGTTAACCTTTATTGTGAATTATCTGTCCATGGCAAAAAGTCAAATTCAGGTCAAGAGAACGGTTACCTTCATCTAAATATTTACAATTTGCCAAACTTAAGACATTCTTTTGACAACAGTAAAGTCACAACATTCTTAAGATTTTAATAATTGACTTTACAATACCTTAAGGACTAAGAAGAGCATTTTGTTTTTAAAAAATATGGCACAGATTAAGAGAAGAAGGAAAAACCGCCTACATGTCTGTAGAAAAACTCCCGGAACCGTTTTGAAACTACATGATAAACATTTATAAACTACCTAATATTATTAAAATCTGAAAATTTGGGGCTCGAATTTGTATATAAACTCGTAGATACATTTAAACAAACCTTTCTCATCTTTAAATGTAACAAACATTGTGCCACTTTCCACTAACGAGAATGTAATGCATGACACTTCACCATATGTCGTTTCCAAACATTTGGTTGGTTCATCTACCGATGTCCACGTCAGAGGCTGTCCTTTTAGCATAACAGTATATGGGGTAGGGTACTGCTCTGTATCAATGACTTTCTCTTTTATTTTAATTGGCCTCTTCTTAAGGACTTTTTGAACAGCTATTTAAATATAAAAACGTGAAAATAATACGGGCTCGTACCTTTTTCGCTAATGGCGAGCAAATATGTGTGCAAAAGGTTTGAGAACAAAGAGCAACAGGAGACAGCAGCACTCAACTAACGCAACCCCAACAAAATCTAGCAACATAGGTACCCCGGACACAGAACCCAGAAGGTTTCATTCTACCGTACAACAATTGGCCTCCCAATTTAAAAGTATCGAACTGGACCTTCTATCGGATGTTCACATTTTACATTATTATGTCACCTTTTTTATCTTCAAGGTGGCTAACAATTACATGTTATTTAACTGCACAAACCATTATATTCTACATATCGCAAAATAAGTGTCAAAATTTTATCAATTATTTGCTGACCTTATTATCAACATGTATATCATATTGTGAAAATTGAAGTTTCGTCCATATGTGTTAATACAATAACGTACACATAAACATGATCATTTTTTTATATTCTGTAGGCTTTACAAATGCACTTAAAAAGCATACAGTAATCCAGGAAATATTTCTAATGCTGGATTAAGTATAATGTCATGCGCTAATTCATTTCTTTCAATTTGATTTAATATTAAATGTTTTGGTCCGTTTACTTTCCGTTTTGCTCGTATCGGTCATAAAGCGTTACTTCCATATTATATTCGTGCGTTACTGGATATACATACAGATTGTGCATTTAAAACAGAAACAATGAAGTTCCCTTTGCTTTTTTAAAGATATATGCAGTGATCATATGACAAATGATAGAACATAAAACGGAGCAACAGTTTTGAAAATCAGACCAAACAATTTGAAGTTAATGTTTCTTGAGCGTAAACGGGAATGGAGTGTTTAAACCGGTTAAAACTTTATCAAATATATACACAGCATAATTGACGACGATGTTGCAGGCTCAGGTTGATTAAGCCTGATTATTTACTGTGGTGAAAGGTAAAAGTTATCGTCTTGGCAAGCTCCACAAGTTTAAGCATCATTTAACATTAAAACATTGAACCTCAACAGATATTGAATCTATTATGCGATTTCATGAAAAGCGGCCTACGGTCTTCAAAAATAAATTGCGTGTTCCCTACGCAAATAAAAAAAAGAAAGAAAGAAAAAAAGAAAGAAAGAAAGAAAGAAAGAAAAGAATGAAAGAAAGAAAGAAAAAAAAGAAAGAAAGAAACGAAAGAAAGAAAGAAAGAAAGAAAGTAAGAAAGAAAGAAAGAAAGAAAGAAAGAAAAGGAAAAGAGCGAAATGGAATTTTGAAATGAAACCAGAGGTTAAAAGGACAATAGATATCAAGAACAAACATAAATAGTAAGCGACATATCGTGAGAATGATTAGTTTAGTTCATGGTTAAGTTTTCAGTTAGGAATGCTGTAATCATACACTAACAATACAATACAAATCTCGTACTTATCAATCTATTCAGACGGTAAATCATCTCTAAATGACATATCCAAAACATTACGAACTGTCCGATTAATAGCTGTATTATAAAATGACAGTGAAAATAATGTATATTTAGTAAGTGTTTGTACATACCATGTTCATATTTTAATGTGAACTTATGTATTCTTACATGTATCACTTATGAAATGGCTAACGACTCCTAAAAGATTTATAAACATAATAGGATTTATGTTTATGAAAACATTTATGGCTTCATCATAGTTAAAATATTTTTATCCAGGTTATATCGCTGCTCCCTCCAACATCTGTGACTGAGTGTGTGGATAAATTGTGCATCATATTAGCGTTTTGCTTTATTTTCGATAGTGATACTTTAATATAACTAGAAATATATTTGTGAAGAACAAATCTTCGACAAATAAATATTTCAAAATCATGCAAATTTTTACGTATTTCATTCCTGAAATAAAACAATAAAATGTAGTTGCGGCAAAAAAAACTAATTCTAATAAATAAACTAGATGTAAAATCGTCTAGAAAAGTGGAAATCTCTTGTAAGCAACGACAACAACCACATAAGACTCGATTTTATTAAACCTTTTCATGAGAGGTAATATTATGATAATAAACATCGTAATTGTTACCTTCCTTTTCTTCAAATTCAACTATCGCAGTGGCTTTATCAGGAAACAATGCAATTTGTTTTACGCTTCCACCACCTTGCTTCTTTTCATTTTCAAACAAATTCTCGAGATAGTCTTCATCTACATTTATTGGTAGCCCGGAAACTTTGATCTTAGTTTGATCTGAGGAAAATGTGCAGTTCGCTAAATGAAAAAAAATCGATAACTACTTTTAATCACCCTCCTAAGCTACTTGATAATGTCATGTTTGGATCAATTTATTCAGTCCTGTCGAACCGCAATATTTACATTTAATCTAATAATAAAGCACAGAAGAAACTATTGTTCGCATTTTAAAGTAGTATACCCCTAATGCAATACCTCCGCGTTGAAGAGTATTCAAAAAGGCTAGAAATACTGTCAGCTGCAATCCCCAGAAAGGGCAACATTTTTCTTTTTTTTCTTTTTAACATTATTTATGTATCTCTCAAATCACTTATGGAAAGAGAAAAGTGTTTGATTTTGATATATATTAATTGTAGATATTTATTGGCTAAATAATACTTATAAGTCTATAAAATAAAAAATCTATACGGTAAAAATATTCTATATTTTGCAAGATCAACAAATATACTTTAAAAAAAATTAGGCAAACTTTGAAAACATCCCCTCATTGTGGTAAATTTTGGGGGTATTTTGAATAAGGTTTTATATAGATATGAAAATGGTCAAGTAAGTTTTTAAGTGGGTGGGGTAGGGTAACATGTTAATACAGATTAACAACATTTTATGTAGAAACAATCATTGTGCTCGTGTGATTTGTTATCTGAATGCTATTATTTGTTTCTAATCAATGATCAATATGCAAATATTGTTCATAACGAGGATATTTTAGATTATTTAGTGTTTCCTCATTTCTGAAAAAGAGCCTTAAGTTTGTAATAGAAAGTTTTCAGTTCAGAAAATTATCCATAACTCATAAACCTTACGGAAAATTTTGTATACATTTTCAGACAGTTGTCCTTCAAGGCATTTAACTTTCCTGTGTTTTTTAATTTTATAGTGCCTTTTAGTGCCCATTGGGGATGTCCTACCTAAATACTGCAACAGTTATTACCAATCCTTACGTTCAAAATTCTTAAGATTTACTTATGTCTCTAAAACCGGCAAGATTTAGATATGCAAGAAAATTAAGTTCCCTTTGCTCTGGCAATAAGATATTGAAAAAAGTATCCCTAAAGAACATTTTCTTAACTGTAATTTATTTAAAAAGCAGTTAGTCAAATGTAAATGAAATATAATTATGTATTCGAATTGAACTGGGAAAATAATTAAGAAATGTGATAATTCAATAAATAGTTTTACATTACCTATTGTAATAGGTCCTGGGTTTGATTCTACCCCAGCAATGAGAAGGAGGATTCCTATAAAGGCTAATGATCCGACTATTTTCAGACCTACAATATTGTTCACACCACAACATTTCAGCGTTTTTACATCAAGGCCTTGTAAGGATTTGAAGGTCCCGATTCTACACCTGTAACTTTGTATATCGACACCCATATTTCTGAAATAATAAAAGAAACCTTCAAGTGGTAAATGAAAACAGCAAAGGGAAAAAAGATAACACAACTCTTGTATGTAGGTAAAAGTCACAATCAGTAAGTTTATTGACAGTTATAACGAAAACGATCAAAATAGTTTTTAAAAAAGTGGTTATTTGTATTTTAACACAAAATTGTATGTTCTCTTTAAAATTATAGACATTATATCTCACTTTTAAAGCCATTAGGTCACAACCTTAAATATAATAACTACACAACATTAGCCAGTGACATAAAACTTTATTTGAATGATATCTGTTTGCAAATTTAAAGTCAAAATATACGACATGTAGTTGTAATGTATTTTTGCGTTAAATTATATTGTTCGCGCCTGATTTTCCTCACGAAGGTGGATATTTAAGAAATGGTACTTCTTTAATGTAATATGTTAAAGACATGTCATGCCTTTATAGTTTAACTTCATAACTTAATTACAAGAAATTAGTGGAAGTTTGGAGTAAGTAAGATGTCACCCAAGTATGGCATTAGACCTAACCCGTTGTAGTCTAGAAAATAGTTATTGAAGGATTTTGAAGTGACGACATTTTAGTCAACCCTAATTTTGATTGACTGTATTTATTGTATCTGTGTAGTTTTTATGATGTATGAAGACTTTAAAAGTTGATTTTGTGTATTCCCCAGGACAACGTTTCTGAGTGGTACAACTTTATATGTACTTCCCGCCAACAGCCAAGAGTTTATAAAGCAGTGTCCCAACAAATTAAGACTTTTGTCAACGGCTAACATATTATACTTCAAGCCTCTCTTAACTGGGATGGTGCTTATGTTAAAAGTTGACGACAGTATAGCTTATTATGATATATCAATTATAGTTGAATTTCAGAATTAAGACTCAACAGTGACTCCTTTACTATAACAGAACATAGACTATAAAATTTGACAAGACCGAGTCCTGAAGCATGAATCCAATTTCCATTGTTGTAATATCTGTGGGTGTAAGTATCCAAGACGTTAATTTTCACATTTTGTTTATTGCACGACGCTATTATATTTTTCTTAATATTAGTGAATAGTTTTGTCATGTCTCACATGTTTGAACCCGCATGCAGCGTGACTATAATTTAGCCTACCGGTATTAGGTATATAAACGTTATTTATCCTTATGAATACATATTATTCTGTTATTATTTTTCTCATAAAAAAATAATAAATAAAAATAAATAAAAACTTTAGGACATAGAAGTTAAAGATATTTGATTTATTGCATTTTTATCGAAGTGTCCAAGATAGGTATGAATCTAGAAAATGAGAAGGTTATGCGTATTTGTTTAATGTTCAGCGATA